TTTTCAAACTATTGAAAGTGCAATATGGATATTTATATTAATATTATGTTATTAATTAATGTTATGTGGTACACTGAATTAGTAATTAAATTTGCTTTCAAATAAGGTGTCACACTTTAAAATAGTAGTTTTTTATCCCGATAGAGGGCGGTACAATTAAAAGTATTTCAATGAACAGTCATATTTTTAAATTCCCCATAAAATTACCTTCACATTGTAGTATCACACTCTATAATACGTAGTAATTTTTATCCCGCTAGAGGGCGATAAAATTTAAGTAACGCAATGTATAGAAATATTTATGGATTCCTTATTAAATTACCTTTTCAATGATGTGCCATACATGGTACATTACCTATTTAAAATTAAGGTCTGGAGAAGTACAAGGGTGGGGGTTGACACATGACAGATGTCTGCATTTCAAAAATGTTTTTAATTTGGAATAAAAATCGACCTGTTTTAGCATTTTCATAAAATCCAATGATTAATGCTGAAAAACAGGATGAAACTGTTTTAGGTGACCCACTCTGTATATCAAAAATGGCTCGATTTGTCGAATTAGTTCATAGAACAAAATCTGCTTAAAAATGCATTTTTTACAAGATGCGCTACACAAGAAAGATCCTCCCATCGAAAAGAAATTATTGAGCGCAGCGCCATCTACATATTGACTTATTTAAAATCAATTTATATCTAAAACTGAAGCTCTCTTAGTGCTCTGTGAACTGGCTTTTACAGAATTAAAATATCTCTATTACTTACCAAAATATCCGGCCTGGGAGTTTTTATTGGTACACCCTGTATATGTCATTGGTTTATAACAACATTCATAACATTGTCAGTTGTCACTGTTGTCATGTTTGTGTCAGTTCTAATCTATACGTCACACGTCGACGTCAAAAAAACAGCAACATGAGCGACCTCTAGGGCTGGTGTTAGTTTTATTGGAGAGAGATAAATATGTGTAAAGATCAATGTGAAAGAGAAAGAAAGTCATATATGTAATTTAAATGGACCACTGAACAAATTTTCCTATTAAGTTACACGTCTCTGTTGTCTCTGGTATGATCAACGAATTATTATGGTTTACTAATAACAAGAGCGAATAGTTACTTAGACTAGAATAACTGTAAGAATAAAATTTAGTTTCCTATACTAATTTTTCTATTAAGGCAATCTTCACTTACTTTTCGTGTAACAGAGATTACATTTTTTAGAGTGTAAATTTAAATTTATTTGCTGAGGTTCTTCGCGTACTTTTATTTATAAATTATTCAAACTTACATTTTAAAGTTTTTAATAATAAATGTTAAAATTGAGATGAAAATATCAGTATAATAGAAATATTTCAAAATCTTGAGACAAACATTACAGTAATATGTACTTACTTCTTTAGCATCTTTGGATCACTTTAGTTGTAGTAATGGCTTCTCTACATTTTCCTTTGACGTTTGTGTACTGTGGATTTTCTTAAACATCTATAAAAAAATATAGGATTTAATAGCGCCTTGTTTGCGATTTTATTAGGATAGCCCATATTTTGACTTCCTCTAAACTGTTATATTGATCTGTCAATACTTTATAGAGATGTTGAAATAAACTCAGATTCTTGAATTTTACTCGAGTTTGTTTCCTTGTGAAGAGAATTACATTTCTTTGAAGCTAATGCTCTATCATTATTTGAGGATAAACGAAACTATTCTACCAATTGATTTACACTTCTTATAAAATATTTATTCATTTTTATAATTTTAAGCACCATACTGTTACAGAAGAACCATATACACCGTGTCCCACGTAAGGCGGGCATTACAACTTTATGGAGAATAAATTAATTTGTATTTTCGCCATTTTCTGAGTATACATAATCGAATATGCTCTTTTGAATTAAAATAAAATGAACTCTGTGCAACTTCCGGTTATACCGGAAGTGATCACTAACTTCGTTATTTTAAAGGGAATACCCCATATATTTTTTTAATTTTAGATTCAGCATGAAATTCTGTAAACAACGATACCCCATTTGCCTATTCTAGTTATAGCGGATTTGGCGTTATTCAATTTTTTTCTACATTTTTAGTCGCCGGTAGACATTTTCTTAAAGTCGTCTATCTCAGGTACTATATCTATCAGATACTTAAAATTTTAACCAGAGATAGTAGATGGGATGTACTTCTTGAGAATATTTAGTTATTCATTATTTGTTGTACGGGGTGTTTGCAAATTATTTTTAAAAATGAAATTTTTTAAACATAAAAAACTTTTTTATTTTAAAGGGAACACCCTATATATTTTTTAAATTTAGGATTCAGCATGAAATTCTGTAAACAATGATACCATATTTGCCTATTCTAATTATAGCGGATTTGGCGTTATTCATTTTTTTTTAATTTTTAGTCGTCGCGCCGGTAGGCATTTTCTTAAAGTCGATTGTCTCAGGTACTATTTCTGTTGGATACTTGAAATTTTAGCCAGAAGTAGTAGATGGGATGTACTTTTAAAAACATTTACAGTTTTCTGCAACAAAATATGTCGTTTAAAAAGTTTAAATTTTTTTAATGATAAGGTACATACTAACTAAAAACAATTTTTATTAAAAGCACATGGTTTAAAAAATCATTTTATCAAATGTTCAAAATGCCCCCCGTTAGCTTCTAAACATCTTAACAATCTTTTTTCAACATGATTAGTTGTTGCTTTACGAATCATTTCACCATCTAACTCGTTAAAGGCATTCCGAACTCTTTGCTCTAATTCTTCTTTAGTATTAATTTGGGTAAAGTACACTAAATTTTTAATATGACCCCATAAAAAAATCAACAGGAGTTAGATCTGGCGATCTTGCAGGCCAAAGCCAAGGACCATTTGGACATATCCATCGGCCTTCAAAGAGTGCTGTAATTTCTTGACTTACATAGTATGTTGAATGTGCTGGGGCACCATCCAACTGGTACCAAAAATTATTATTTGGTAGCTGGTTTAAAATGTCGGCAACTACTTCTCTAAGAATTCTAATGTATCTTTCTGAGGTCAGTCTTTCATTATAAATGTAATAAAAAGCTCTTCCAAAACCGATCACTGCAAACACATTAAAACTAAATTCGTACTGAAATTGTGCTTCACGATAAAAATGTGGATTTTCGTTTGCCCAGAAATGACATTGCTTGCGATTGATGATCCCTTTACGTGTAAATTTCGACTCGTCTGACCACAAAATTTTGTTTAAAATCTCGGGATCTTCTTGAATTCGTACCAATAACCATTCGCATAATTCAGTTCGTCTTATTTGATCACCATCTCGCAACTCATGAACTTTTCTTTGTGCATAGGGATGCCATTTATTTAGTGCTAAAATTCGTTGTATTGACCCTCGACTAATATTTAAATTATCTTGAGCCATTCTAATGGAGGCGTGAGGATACGCAGTAAAATACCCTAATACGTTAATTAGATTAACTTCTTCATCTCGGACATAATGTTGACGGTTTCTTCCCGGGTTTTGTTTAAAATTATTCAAAAAGTTAGCTTCGATTCTATCAAATTTCTGTCTGTTCATTGGTGGTAAATGAGGGTATCGTTCATTAAACATGCGGCAGGTTCTACTCGATTATTCGATTACATTCTCCATGAATGTAAAATAAATTAAGAATATCTTGGTTGGTATATTCTTCAATATTTTCCATATTTTGAACGCAAAAAATACACAACTTAAATACATAGAAATATGACAATTCAGTTTGTTGACAAATTGTTGTTTAGGATATTTCCACGGCATACTAAGATAAAAAATTAAAATGTAAAACTATACTATATTATGTAGGTGCATGCGTAAAATTTAAATTTAAATTTTCTTAAAATTGGCGAGAGATAATTATAGGGAATTAATAGTGCAAATGAAGATCAATGAAGAATAATTTTCTGAACAAAATGAAATAAAAATATACAGGATTTTCCATTTAAAATAAAAAAAATTTTCATGTTTAAAATATTTATTTTTTAAAATAATTTCCAAACACACAGTCGAACAAACGATGTACAAGTAAATTTAAAAAATCAAATGTCTGCCGGCATATAAAAGTTTATAAAAAACTGAATAACGCCAAATACACTATAATTAGAATAGGCGAATAGGGTATCATTGTTTACAGAATTTCATGCTGAATCTAAAATTTAAAAAATATATAGGGTGTTCAATTTAAAATAAAAAAGTTTTTTATGTTTAAAAAATTTCATTTTTAAAAATAATTTGCAAACACAACAAATAATGAATAACTAAATATTCTCAAGAAGTACATCCCATCTACTACCTCTGGTTAAAATTTTAAGTATCTGATAGATATAGTACCTGAGATAGACGACTTTAAGAAAATGTCTACCGGCGACTAAAAATGTAGAAAAAAATTGAATAACGCCAAATCCGCTATAACTAGAATGGGCAAATGGGGTATCGTTGTTTACAGAATTTCATGCTGAATCTAAAATTAAAAAAAATATGGGGTATTCCCTTTAAAATAACGAATTTAGTGGTCACTTCCGGTATAACCGGAAGTTGCACAGAGTTCATTTTATTTTAATTTAAAAGAGCATATACTCAGAAAATGGCGAAAATACAAATTAATTTATTCTCCATAAAGTTGTAATGCCCGCCTTACGTGGGACACGGTGTATATTATAATTAATCAGATCCCTTAGGTGGGGTATATCATGAGACTTACCTATAGATTCATCCTGTAAAACATTTGGGCGTACTTTTGAAGTTTTCTCAACAAACAAATCTTTCATGTTTAGTTACATATTAAATTTGTTTGCAGACAGCTAAATCTAATTAAATTCTTTCTTTTACATAAAAAAAAGAAAACGAAACTAAACTTCGCTAATCCGCCGATATTTTACGAGGAGTTTTTGATGTGGTCATAACCGACACCAGTCCACCTGTCTTTGACTTTAGTTAAAAGTTAATTGGATACGAAAACATCCATTCATTATTTTTATCTTTTCAGGGAGACGGAAATAACATCAACGCCCGTCATTTCCGTGCTCAATGAAGAATCTTTGGAGATCACAAATATAAAGGTTAGTAAAAAAAAAGTACATTTTATAGCAAAAAGTATATCGACAAAAGATAACAAAATAGTAAATATAAAATATTCAGTGGTGCTTACAATAAAAAATATACAAAAATAATTGAAAAGATAATACATTAATTTGCAGCTTTCTTATTAAAAGTAAACAAACTCGTCATTCATTTTCAATTTCATGCAGCTTTTCTAAAGTTATTGTAGGGCGAGAGAAAATTGTTCTCTCGTCACGACAAGAAGGTGCTTCTCTCGCTCTATAAAGCCCTTCTCTCGTCTTGTCTCGTCTCGTTTCTATCGTGATAAAAACATATATATTAAATTTAAATATAGAAAAGATATACTTAAGATAAAACATGAAAAAAATGTAAAATTTTGAAGACAGAAACAAAGAAATTTTCAATTAATTTGTCTTTTTTATTAGTATCCAAATTGGCAATAAGAAACACTTATGGAATCACCTCGGTGTCTCTTTGTCTATTCGTCTATCACAGTCGTTTTATTCAGAGACTATTTGACATCAGTGGCGTGCCTGAGGGGCCCGTGTTGCGGAAGGGTCACGGGCTATTTGGGTCTCCCAAATTAAACAAGGTATTCTTCTTAAAAAATAATGTTTTTCCACTTATGTCAATTCAAGTGTCAGTCAGATTTCGCAATTTTTGCAACCATCGGATTCATTGGAAATGATAATAATAATTTTTTTGTTTACTTATTTTGTTAGAAGAAATTTTGTGGGGGCTCTTAGGAAACTGGACAGGTTCCTGTTTGACATACACAACTGATATTTAAAGTAAGCAGTGACCCAAATTAGGTGTTAACTAAAAACTTAAATAATTTATGTTGGAAGACAATGGGGGAAGCGGGTTAAATTGGAAGTTAGAATTTTTCTGATGACATCGTTTGATATCAAATGTAATCATTTTAAAGCATCTTTTCAAAAATATATAATACGTTCGTTTGTTTCAACTTTTTCTTTGATAGTTTTTCGACAAAAACGCTTAAAAATTGTTCTCCACAAAAGTAACCTCAAAAAAATTTGACTGGACAAAAATTATCACGATTGTTGTCTGTTGGATAGTTTTTTATACAAAGAAAAAGAGCTTTGCTATATAATACTCAGTATCAGGGCTTGCCAGTTAAATCTATCATCATATCAACTCGAATTAATTTAGAACATCTACGATACAGAACACTATGGCTCTATTTTATTTGGTCAAATTTTTATTTAACTTTAAAACTTATATAAAAATAACTTGTTTGTGAGTTGTCTGGAATAGTTCGCGATATATAGCAGAAGTAAAAGTTGGAAAGGCTTTTGCCAGTTCTCCCACTTTATACACATAAATTGACAGGTTTGCGGCGGATCTCATCGAAGTGGATGCGATACATTGGCGTACAAAATTATTTTATAGATATTAATAACAATTTCGAGTAAATAGTTTAATAAATTGTGAATAGCTGTTGAAATTTTGTAAAATTATGATTTGAATATTATAAAACATGTTTAATAATTATTTATAGTCCATAAATACATGCGATTGTCTGGTTCCGCCGAAAACAATTTAAAATTATTTATTCTATGAAACGACACTGGCAGGTAAACATTACTGCGAAATTCTCGAAGCCGTTCGACGTGGTTTGACGTTTACCCCCTCTCTACCTACCAAAAGCCTTTCCAACTTTTACTTTAGCTATACAAAATTTCTCTAGGTTACCTAACAAGTTTTACAACATAAAATGTGACCAAAAAAATGTCTCAAAAAGTTTTATACAAACGGACAAAAGTTTATCTTACATTTCACAAAAAAAAATCTTGTTAAAAAGTTATGTATCACTTCGAAATCCATCAAATTAGATAAAAATTCAAAAATTTCTAATACACATTCATTAATTGGAATATTTACTGAATAGAGTAAATTGAAATCACTTAAAAATAAGTGCAATTATTTAAATTTTATCATATTCTTTAATTTTTATCAACATTTTCAATTAACTGCAGTTTTATCGATTATAGTATTTAAAGTAAAGTTATTTATGAAAATTATCTCAAGAACTATTTTAATATGTATTTTCCCGTAATCATTTTTGACTAATAAGTGACGATAAATATAACCTTTTTCGTTGTAAATACAAAGTACTTGCAGCTTCATATTTAAAATTAATTTTAAATAAATGACATGAAATACTTTTTTTTATAAATCAATATAACATCCCAATACATTATTTGTTACCATCTAACATATATACAGAATACGTGAGTTCTAGCGCAAACCTTATGTAAATTAACATGGGAAATCGCTAAGGTTCATTCTGCCAATTTTTGTTTATATCAAGGTCACTCGTCATGACGTCACGTGTCATGGCGTCACCAGCCAACTGTTGCCAACCTGACCTAACCTAACCTAACCTAACCAGAATTGATCCAAAACTGATCCGAAACTGATCCGGAACTGATCTCGAACTGATCCTGTACTGTTCCCGAACTGTTCCGGATCAGTTCTAAAACGGTTCCGCATTGGTTCGAGATCAGTTTGAGATCAGTTCGAGATCAGTTCCGGATCAGTTTGGAATTAGTTCCGGATTAGTTCTGGTTAGGTTAGGTCAGGTTGGCAATAGTGACGTGACGTCATGACGAGTGACCTTGATATGGACAAAAATGTGCAGAATGAACCTTAGCGATGTCCCATGTTAATTTACATAAGGTTTGCGCTAGAACTCTTGTTGCTCCTTTACTTACGTATGTAACAGTTATTGATTTGACTATCTGAAAATCTGACATGTTCAAATTTTAAGTTACGATAAACAAATTAAATATTTCAAATTACCAAAAAGTAAATTGCTCGAGAGACCTCGAGAGAAACGAGAAATTCTTGTCGAGAGATGACACTCCTAGTCTCGTCTCGAATGTGGTTTCGAGAGAAAATGTCGACAATCTTTCGTCTCATGTCGATTTTGCCGATTTTGTTCATTTTTTACTTTTACAAATTCTAAGATTATTACTTTTTTACATTTTTTTACTTTCCTATCTGTATACAGATATAAGGAAAGTATAGGAATCATGATTTTTTTCGATCTCGAGTTTTCGACGGATTTTTACGTTTTGAGGTCCCCTGAATCCGTTTTGACTATTTTCGCGATGCTGTCTGTGTGTGTGTGTGTGTGTGTGTCTGTGTGTCGCATAACTCATGAACCGATACACAGAAAAACACCAAATTTCAAACTTAAGCTTTGTTCCAGCGTCCAATGTGCTAATTAGATTTTGGTCAGTGTCGAAACATCTGTGGGGGTACTTTATAGGTGGTCATTTTTATATTTTATGGAATATATCTGTTATTTACGTTTGGGGAAGAAAATTCTTCAAATAAAAGTTACTTCTTATATTATTATCTAAAATTTTTGTTCTATACAAAATTTTCCTAAAATGGTCCGTATTCGAGAAATCTGACAAAATGTAAAAAAATATTTTTTTATAAAAATTGTTCAAACAAAAGTTGTTTGTAATATAATTCTCTATAATTTTTATTCTATACATAATTTCTCTAAAATGGACCGTATTCAAGATATTTGAGAAAATGTGTAAATTTCGAAATTTGAAGAAAACTCCAAAACGGATAAAGAAAAAATTTTAATCTTAAGTTTTATTTCGGCCTGACGTAAAATGATTAGATTTTGGACAAAGTCGGAACATCTGGGGGGGTACTTTATGGGGGGCCGTTTTTATATTTTATGGAATATATCTGTTATTTATGTTTGGAGAAAAAAATTGTTCAAATAAAAGTTATTTCTAATATTATTATCTATAATTTTTGTTTAATGTCAAAATTTCCTGAAATGGTCCGTATTCGAGAAATTTGACAAAATGTGCAAAATTCCCATTTTTATGAAAATTGTTGAAATAAAAGTTGTTTGCGATATCGATCTCTATAATTTTTCTTTATACATGATTTTTCTAAAATGGACCGTAATGGAAAAATTGTAGGAAAAGTGCTAAATTTAAATTTTTCAGTATTTTCATTTTCAATGAATATCTATAGAAAAATGTTTCGAGGTAGATGTATGTGGAAAATGTATATATTTATTTTATCCTCTAAACATTTATGGATGTGCTGCAATAGGTTGTACAAAATAACCGGAAAAAGCCTGTAATAACTAGATAGGAAAGTCATGTGTTGGACACATCAGATTTTTTATATTATATATGTATTTTGCATTCTTTTTTTTGCTTTGAGCAGTAGATTCACTTACATTTATGAAATTTTGTTAATGTTTTCTGTCCTTACCTGAAGCATTTATAATTTTATAAATTCACTTGTACCTATAGGTACCTTGTTGGTAGAGTAAAAAAGTAAACAACACCGACAAGAATATTCAAATAAAAATGTACGGCTACCTATGCACTATGTTTTTCAAAAAAATTGACAATGGCCATCATACAATCTGCAAATCTGATTTAGATGTGTCCTGTATAAAATCCAGTTCGGCAGTTAGTCAGATCTGTCATAATACGCGGTGCAATTTTGCGCATTTAACCGAATCCAATAGCACTTTATAATACTTATGAATGTCTTTGATCTATAATTAAAACCATTTATTATGAATTCGTTTTAGGTACCTGAGGAGAACGTGGCCGACAGCAGAGAAAGAGTCAGAAGATTCACGTTCGACTATTGCTTTAGCGAGTCATGTTCCCAAAATTACGTAAGCTGTTTTTGGAATAAAAAAATGTTATTAAAAAAAAAATTCTTTAAACATTTCATAAAAATTAAACATAAGTAGGTACTATTATACTCGTATTAAATGTGTTTGGTATTTCAGATATTCGAAAAAATAGAAAAATTAATCAGCGAATCCATAAGAAAACGCAACCATTCCTGTGTTTTGGCCTACGGTCAGAGTTCCACCGGTAAAACCCATACCATGATGGGACTGGAAGGGGAACCCGGACTCATTCCTAATTTTTGTAACAAAATTTTCGAGTACCTTCAAGAATCGGCAATAGGCGAAGAGGATTTTAGCAAGAAAGTCACAGTGAGGTAAGTAAAAACACGAAATAACCTACCAAGAACCAAATGAAAATGTAAAAAAATGGGTAAAAAGTTTAAAACCACTCCTAAAATAATAATAAAAAGTTCTTTCTCAAAATCGAGTATGAATTAAATTAAAATTATACTCTATACAAATGGCGCTCAACGAAACGGAGCCTGGTGGGTAAATTACAAAATATATTTAAAATTCCTTTGGCACAAATATATAAACCAGTAGTGGAATTTTTAATATTGTTTGTAGTTTACCCACCAGGCTCCGTCCCGTTGAGCGTGGCACACCCTGTATGTAAATATCTATAATTTCTGTAAAAAAAAATAAAGAAAATTCCCCATTCATAAGTCTGACAAACTTTGAGAGGTGAAAATACGAATCGACCCTCGTATACGAATAAAAAACAACCCAAATAGATATGAAAGACAATTTATTTACTAAACATTTATTTCAATTTTGCTTTACAAATTTCCCAGCGATTTCAATCACACTTTTCCAGCCGAAACTATTTAAAGTTCGTCAATCGAAATGGGAACGGGGAGCAACTTTGATAAAACTTGGGCAATTTTAGAATAATTGATTCATTTTCGGTTTTGCGGTTTCAGGGTTAGAGTAAAGAAAATGCCGTGTCGCCGGTCGATAAACAATCAGGATTTAGGGATTTCTGCGTCGCTGTTTGACTTGCATGTGTGAAAACAACTTGTGTTTCGCAGAGATAAACCGCGATCCATTATATGATCGTAATGAATAGATGGAAGATGTTGATCATTTCGCTACCCGCATATATGGAGAATTAGGTAGATGATAATCGCGATCGAAAGATACGCGCGTACGCGTAAATACAAGGGTTGTTCGAGAAGTCGCTACTGAAGAGAAAAACTATAGGATTGAATAAATATATTATAATGAAACACGGAATCCCAAGAATATCAAGTTAATGATAAAAAGTCTTCAAAGAAATAAATTTAAAAAAAGTTTCATCTAAGTATTTAGACTACACCCTGTATAGTGATAAATTTGACAAGATCAAAAGTAACTAAATGTAGTGAGACAATGTTACCACACGAAAATTATAATTTTTAAAATGTAAATTTGTAAAAAAATTACAACACGGATTTCAAAATAACCTATTAATTAATGAACGATAAATTATCATCGAAATTATGAAATAAGCCGTTTAAATAAACTCACCTTTAAAAATCCAATAATCTAATTTTAAAGATGTAACTAAACTGTCAAAATTTTGATTGGCTAATTACTTTTTCATCCAACTTGATTCAAAAATCCAAATCAGAATTTTGTTGATGAAACAAAAGAGAGTTCTAAAAAAGTAACGAAAGAGGAAGGACACAAAATTTTTTTTCCTTCTAATTTCCTCTCCAAACTCCTTTTTCCTAAAAATAAAGAGACAGAAATATTAAATCTTCAATATTTATGTATAAACGATTAACTAGTGTATAAATGTCAAAGGTAATATTAAATTTAACTTACCCACGCAATATCATGTAAAACTGCCCAAAGAAGAGTCCCCAGGAAGTCGTCGATCACCTCTGTATGCATTGGCATACAAGACGTAAGGCCTCCATTTCCCCCAGGTACTTGTAGCATCCTTCTGTTATGGACGCTGAAAAGAAATAAGTTTAACACTTGGACATCCTATATTTCACAGTGCTAGACAGGTATTTTAATTAAAAACTATCATTAGTGACCAATTAAAAGAAAGTACTTACCAAATTGAGTACTTAAGTAATCGTAAAGACGATAAATCTTTCTATTTTTTGTACAAAATAACATCACAATGTTGTATAGAAATTCTGATTTGATTAGGTTAGAATTCCATATAAGCCATCTCTTGTCCGACTAGAGAAATTACCATATAGCCGGCCAAAAGAGATCTACTTACGTATTTAAAAGCGCCGTACGGTGGGTAGAATATTAAGCTCGATAGGTAACTGTATTTTTATAGTATAATGCGCCATTTTCGATCCAAAAATCGATCGTTAAATGACGAATTATTTTATTATTTTTGTTTCTATGTTAATTTTTACATTTATGTAACAATATTCTGTTTCTTTTTCCCACATTAGTTACAAAGAATTTTTGAACTCGCACTAAACCCTGATATCAATTATTTTAAATAAAACTACAAGTTATACACAGAGTCTCAAACTTTTACTTATTTTTATTTCAATACAAGAGCTGACAATATACGAGGTGCAGAGGTAAGTGTCTTAAATACATGGATGAAAATTTTTAAATCCATTAGTTAAAAGAATTGAGTCATATCGTTTCATTAATTGCATTAGATAACATTTCAGCCGGAGCATTAAGTATTTGTATGGAGGATGATGATTTGTGATTTATATTATTTAAAGCTCATTACGATTATAACATCCCAACGTAGTGTTATATATTACACACAAAAACATTCCCCCATTACAATATATATTATACACACAACCAAACTTATATGGAATCACTATGTATTTCTAAATAAACGTTTTGTAAGGAAAAAATTTGGTAACTAACTTTAAGATAAGGCCTTTTGTTCTTAACAAACATGATAATAAAGAAGAAATAACTGCTGAGGTTTATTATCTTGTGAATTTTGTGTTCAGAAGTAAAATCACGATTCTCCGGTAATTTTATTTCGGTCCAAAAAAACAACAAAACGCCTTATATTGGACTAACAGATATGCTTTTCGGCTATTAAAAATTTAATTCTCATTTCGTTTCAGAAATCAAAAAAATACCATTGTGTTTATTTTGACAACTAATTAATTATTTTTATTGCTATGTGGGTTATTTGTCATTAAAAGTCTTTGGTAAGGACTGAGTTTTATTCATAAACAAAAAATGTTCATACATCTCAAAATATATCTATATGAAAAATAATAGATAAGTTTGGTTATGTGTATATATATTGATAAGAGAAAATCAATTTTGTTATATAATTTAAAAAAAAATTGTTATGAGAAATCAGTTTGTTTTATTTCTTCTTCTTTATTAATTCCTTAATTTTTGTTTTTCTTTAATTTCTATTCCTTCTGTTTCTTTACTTAATTCTTTTTCTTCAATTTTTTGTTCGACTATTTTATTCTTTGTTTCGTCTTTCAAAAATACTTGTTTTTTTTTGTAAAATTTCAAATACATTATCTTACAAATTTTACAACTTCCTCATAACCCCTTGTAATACAATTTAAACGACAACCGCTCGCTTCTCTAGATTTGCAAAGTACGGTTTGCGCACATGCCCAGCGTTTCTCTCGGCATTCACGAAGAGATAAAACCAGCTGCCGTTGGTTTAAGAGTTTTTTTGTTATTTATCGAACTCAAACTTCAATGTGCTAGTGTTGTGTCGACAAATCTACTAGTTTTCAGCTACTATGAGTAGATTTAGATAATTATCGTGTATCTTTCGTATCTTCTTATGTGTTACCGTTCGGATAATTGTCAGTGGCTCCAAGTCCAAGTTCCGAGTTCCAAGTGTGAGCTCCAAGCTTTAAGCTCTAAGTTCTAGTCTAAGCTCCAAGCTCCGAGGTACGTAGTTTCCAAGCTCCAGGTTATGTAGCTTCTCCAAACAAGCTCCAAGTTTCGAAGTAGTTTCGAAATAGTTCCAAGTAGCCCAAAGCAGGTCCATGTAGAACCAAGTCTGGACATATCTTCAAGTCTCGACATACGACAGGAAAGTACACCGCTATTTGTCAAAAGTCAAAATGGCCACCTTGCAAAATAATAAATGGTCACCCGAGACACCCCCAGAGTCAAGGAAGTGTTGAAAGAAGCAATCAAGATACTGAGAATATGTTGAGAGCTTGGCTTCATGATAATAATACTCAAAATAAAATAAAATAGGAAAAAAACAAAAACACAAAAAATAAAAAAAAAAAACAACAATCTAAACGTATAAAAAAAAAACGCAAAAAAAATTAAAGAAATCATCCAACAAATAGTATATTTCTTACAATTGTTTTTGATTTATTTTAATTAATTTTTAAATTGTTTTTAATTTGATTTTAATTTTAGTTTTTAGTTTTAGTTTTAATATGTTTTTAATCATTAATCTATATATGTCTGTTTATTTTATTTTATTATGCAAAAGCATGCTTACACACAGACATTTTATGTCTCGTAAGTTTTCTTCTATTCACATAGGTACCATTAATTTTCTTTTGTATCACAAGTTTTATAAGTATGTATTTATTGTTTTTATGTGAATAAATTATTATTATATTATTATATAGAATGTCACATGGTCGAAACAATTAAATATCTACATTCAACTTCATTCATTTTTTTTCAATAGTTAATTTTTCATCCATCTTTCAAATTTAATTATTAATTTAATGTATAATCGCATTCTTTTAATTTTTTTTATTAAATGTATTAAATTTTCTCACTTTCTTTTATTTGCCAGAACTCATAACAGATAACTTTAAGTACCAGAGACTGACTCAATTAAACAGGGCATAAAAAAACAGATATGTTTTCCAAGTTACTCAAGAACTTGGTGGCGCTCAACATTTTTGTCGTTATTGTATTATAGTAAGTTTCATTTTATCGTAAAGTAGACTTTGGCCCGCAGTATCAGCAATTTGAGCTACATCACCTCTTAGTACAATTTACATCGTAGAAATCAAAAAGAAGGTAATAATTTCCACCCTTATATCATTTTTGTTCTATTTTATTATTTATTCTATCTTATTGTTTGTTCGTAAGTTTGATTCTTTCATTTCTTTTACTGCTATTTCCAATTATTTTTCTACCTTCTTTATTTCGCTTTTCATATCCTGTTTTATGCTTTTTTCCATTTCCTCCATTTTCTTTATAATTTCTTCTCTATCTTCTAACCTTCCTTGTTTTCTTTCTTCTTCATAATTTCTTCTATTTTTGTCCATTTTTTTATTTATTTCTTCTCTATCTCCTAACCTTTCTTGTTTTCTTTCTTCTTCACCATTTCTTCTATTTTCGTCCATTTTTTTATTTATTTCTATCA